CTATTATATTCTTCTATGCAGTACATGGGCTATGCTGCGGGTCTCCTACATGCTATCGACGCCTATCTCTCCTTCAAGTACTTTCGCAGAGCTAGCTAAGAGTGATGGGCTTTAAGGTAAGCTAGATTATGCTTTTAAAAACACCCGACATGAACTTAAAGGTTAGTTAAAGATGCTCCACTAACTGATATATAAACTATGTGTAATATGTACATATATTTTACATCTGACTTTTACTATCTCTCTCTCTCTCTCTCTCTCTCTCTCTTTCTCTTTATAAGCGTGGAAAATTTTGCAAATTTTTAAAAAGTTGTCTGATTTTGAATTTCCAATTTTAATACATAAAGCCCAATTTAAAAATATTAATTTATACTTAACTTCAACCATCATTAACTAATTTTTTGTTCTCTCCTTCTCTTTCTCTCTTTACCATTGAACAGTTTATCCAGCCCAGACGAACTCAACTATGCAACGACTTAATCTAGAGTTAAGACATATACTTATACACATATATAGATGTATTTATATATACTAAGACTTTTCGCTGACTGATCTCTCCTATAAAGATGTCCAAGAAATTCGCATTTATCATGCAATTACAGTTTATATATGCATTTATGCAATTAGGTACGTTAAATGTATTTAAATATAGATAAATATGAGCGCAAACTCGTATTTAAGGCACCATTAGTTGAGAGATTTACAATAAAAGCATTTAAGTATATGTAAATTTGTATGTAAATGGACTGGTTCGCGTTTATACATATCTTGGCCAGAATGATGGCCGTTAGCACCGTCTAAGCCATTTTATTGGCCGCTTTGAATTTCCTAAATGGATAAACAAAGTCTATATTAATATTAGCTTCAGCTCGTACTTAAGCTGCTTCAGCGCCTGGCTGGTCTCATAGTCAGCCTTCAGCAATCCAATGCGCACCCAGCGCGGACGCTCGTGAATCACCTTGTGTATGAGAAACTTGAGGCCCAGCAGCAGATGCTCGAAGATGACAAAGGACAGATCCGGTATGGAGGGCAGCCAATGGGCGAAGAATTGTCTGACAAAGAGAGCAAGCATATATATAGTGAGAGAGAGCGAGAGAGAGTCAGCTATAAATTTACTTGACATTCGGCTGGAGAAAGAGCAGGCCGCAGTTGCTCAGCAGCGACATCACAGAGAGCAGCTCGAAGGCCAGCTGCCAGGCGCCAATGTTCTTGGCACGACGCGCGAACGGACGCTTGAAGATGTTACACAGCTTGAACATGTCGATGTGGACGGCGAACACGTTGTTGATCAGCGCACCGATGGCGGCAAAGGGCGCCACGGCCGCAAAGAGCACCACGTAGCCGAACTGTATGCAGACCTGCAGATAGTCCTCGTAGGTGGAATGGTACTCATCGAGGCCGGATTCGTAGAATGCTTGCTCGTAACGCGGCTTGTTGCTGATGCCGCGCAGCTTCTCTGGCTCGATCTCCTTGTGGCGATACTTGGCATACTTCTGTCGCAGCACCGCCATCAGTGGTATGCCAATCTCCTGTGCTATGCACACCAATTGGAAGATGAGCAACTGCATCATTAGCTGGTACTTGAGCTGCTTGAGATCCTGCAGCACGAACGCAATATAAAACTGGGAGAAGAAGTTGTTGACAATCTCGAAGAGCATCAGCTTATTGACCCGATGCCGCTCGTACTGTGACCTGGTGCGATGATTCTCCAAATTGGTCAGGAATGTGGCAAGCTTTTCGTATGCCCACGAGAAGATCGCTATCAGCATGGACTGCACAATGACGGGTATATAGAGCAGCCAGGAATCCGCCCCGAAATCGGCCAGCACCTCGGCCTCTATTTGAAACTGATACAGAGCAAACCAGGCGGCAGCCACCACACAGCCCAGCACCACCGGATACGAAATGCAATACATTTGCAGGTACGTATAGCGCATCGGATAGTGTAGAGTCATCTTGCCCGTTATCGGATCCGGCTTCAGTTGGCCGTGGTAACCAGCGCGCGGCTTATCCAAGCTGCTCATCTCAATGGTGCCCCAGCGATAGGATAGACCAGCACATCGACGCTTCCACAGTTCCAGAAATATCTAAAACGAGGAGATGAAAATGAGATTCAACGGGAAATCCAGATTTGATCACTCACCGTTGTCCAAACCACATAGAAGCTGCACACGAGCGAAAGATTGAGATTCATGAGGGATTGCAGTATGCCAAACACAGCCGGAAAGATCAGGGCCTTCGTATAGAACTCAATGAAGGCAAAGTACAGGCCAATGCTGGAGCCAAAGTAGTTGCGTATCTCCTCGATGGGCAACGTTGTGCGTTTCAGGTTGAGATGGAAGCGATCCAAATAGAGCTGGAAGACAAAGGGGAAAGTGGATGATAGTCGCGATACTTTCGATGAAGAGATGTAGAGGGAGTCCTCCCATTCCAATTGATCGGTACATACGATATCATGCAATGGAAACATGTCCTCGATGTAGCCTTTCTGTATGTAGGATCTTATAGCCGGCTCCACCACATCCTTAATCAGCACAGGTGTCTCGCAGTATTGCAATATTTGCTCCTGCGTCATGCCCGGCAGCAGGAAATCGGAGACACAGCCATAGTTGAACTTTTGCATGCTGCCCGTTGTTGTCATCTTCTCCAGCTCGGCGGCATCGGCCAGACGAAGCAGCGTATCCAAGCTGGCCGACAGATACAAATACTTTTCGGTTTTGCTAAAATATGGTCAACAATGAAATATATGATAATGGTAAATGCTAATCCTAATAGAGGTTTACCTGACAATTTCCAGTGTGGTTTGTATATCAAACTCCTGAATGATCTTCTCCACATCCTGGCAGTGGCGCAGCTTGGCCTTCTCCGTGAATATGATAACTATGTACGTCTGCAATAGATATGAAATACCTGTACTCATAGCATATATGTACATATGTATGAACGCACATACATATAATAATTCATTATTGCACGCAGACTAACCTTGCCAAATGTCTCCGCTTCTTCGTCGTCGTCGATGACGTCGATGGTGCCATGTTGCGAGCGCTGTCTCTGCAGCGCCTCGAGCTTCAAACTGCGCTGCCGGCGAAAGAGCTGATTTTCGATAATGTTTCGGGTGCGTGGACCTGGAATAATAAACAGTTGTATATAAACAGTTATATATATATGCACATATATCACATCTATAAACTACTTACTCTTCGCATCTTCGGACATTGTCTATGATGAGTCGTCGCCGTTGCCGCTGCAAATGCGAATAACAATGCCAGAATTTTGCCAAAGCGGCGAATAAAGTGTCTCACTCATGCACACAGACACGCACACACACATGCATACACATTTATTTTTCTGTATAATTATTAGGTTTGTCCCAATGCCAGCAAGAAAAATGTTTTAATAACGCCAAAACATTTCAAAACGTGGCCAGTGCCAGAGATCGTGGCTATTTTAGCATTTCTCTGGTTATTGCCGGTTTCTCTTGTTCTATCGCCTCTATTGCGCTCGCACTCGCACTCGCGCACGCATATGCACACATAAGCAGAACTGCGTGTGTGTTTGGTGTCGCACTTACTCACGCTGTGACGTCACAATGCCAAGCCGAACAGCTGATTGGAGAACTGTTTATACGCAGCTTTAATGGAGAGTATGTTGATCACATTGGGCCAAGCAAAAAAGTCTACAAAAATTAGTAAGTTTCTTAAAGGTTAATATTATAATATGTATATTGTCATTTATTTGTATGAATGTTTAATAATTTGTAATTGTACATGTATAATAGATTTTTAAAAATTAGTAATTCTAGATAACATTTTCGGGGTGTGAAAGAGAAGGGATATGCCTTTGTGCGTGATCTATGCAATTTTGTTTTAGTTTTGTACAAATAGTATCCCTAATAATTAATATTATTAACAATTCGGCTTATTTATTTAATATTCACCACTATGCAGCTAGCTGTAGCTCTGATTCTGTTTCTCCTCAAGATTTAACAAACATTGTGTATAGAATGGAAACATAATTATCATAATATAAACTACACATAAAAACGGTTCAGACAATTTACAATTGAAACATACATATATGTAAAGACGAGAGGCATTGAACTACTTCCAAATCACAGTCACATTCGTATCCTTTTCAATATCCTTCTCGATGGTGAACGGCGAGAGGCCAGTCTTGCAGCAAATCTCATCGAAACTAATCAGACCCGTGTACATCTTTTGGCGGCCCGATGGCACCGATCCGGTAAAAACCGGATACTTCTGTATGCAGCGTATAAACTTATGCTGCAATCCAAAGATAACCATCTTGCGTTCATCAATATTGTTGTCCTGCGGACAGAGACGCTGGCAAATGGCACGAAGCGTAACGCCGTGTGTCATGGACGCATAGAACTGGAAGATTCTCTGAACGCTGGGCAGAAGTTTATCGGGTTGGAGTGCCACGTATTTTCGACAGGCATTACTCAATGCTGTGCTCTGTATGAGTTTCTTCAGATTTTGCGTCATATAGACATTGCTATACTTCAATATGGGCAACAATTGCACGACTCCGTAATAGACCAAATTCTGTATGCACGATTTGACCAAATCCGTTTCCACATCCGCCTCAGCAGCTATGCGAGCCACGTGATTAATGCCATTGATATACGGCAATATCTACAAGCAGACTTGTGGAATAAATCTGAATCTTTTTAGATTTTTAGATATATCACACTACCTGCTGTGTGGTTAGGTCCCAGTTTTCGAGTGGAGTATCTCGGAGATTGGCTAGCAGTAGGGGCACCATGTGATCCTTGACTGGCGGCGGATCTGGCTTATGCATCACAATCTTTAAATATATTGTATTATCTCCCTCAACGATGGTCGCCACTTTGCGCTCATTCAGATCCCGGAGGACAGTCTCAAAGATTTTTTGCAGGCGCAGTTTGTCGTCTTCGCGTGATAAAAAGCACGATTCCTCCTCCATCATAATCAAGTACTCAGATAGTTTCTTAACAACGGGCTCATATTGCACGGACCGAGCACGCGAATCGCAAACGAAGCATAGATTAAAGAGGAATGCATTACGTGCATATTTCTGCTGGTCCTGTATGCCGACTGGGTAGCCAACGATTTTCACCTCCATCGCATTCACTGTCAGGATGCAGCGCTGCAGATGCTGTTTGGGTATAATGTAAACGTTGATGGCATCGAATACCTCTTTGGAAATGTAATTCTCTGGCACCTTTTAACAAGAACATGTTGTTCCAATTATTTATTTTATTTTTTCTATTATTTGTTATTGTCATTGTTGGTGGCGTACCTGACAGCTGATTTTGCAGCCAGCCGTTGCATGGAATTCGCTTAAGAAAATACAGCGTATTTTGCCTTCGGTGCTGCCGGGGCTAACACCTTCATTTGCGTGGGAGTGCATTGTTATTGATTGCACCTGCCACGCTCATCGCACTTTACAGATTTTTGACAATCTAGCAAACCTATTTCCACACAATATGTTTCCATTCGCGATTGTAAGCTAACCAACCAGAGGCAATCCCACATATATATATATATATGTACATATATATAAATATGTATATGCGCAGATATTTTACTCTCGCTTGATTTTGCTCTCTCTGCGCAGCACGTCACAAAATTCAGCATTTACAAAGATTTGACGTGAGTCTGGCAGATATCAAAATAAATGCTAGCCATACTGGTATTGTTATGGATAACATAACCAATTTCATATTTCATGTCGACATTGCGTCTGCGATACAATTCGGTGTTTCAAGCCAACCATTAAATTGTGACGGAGTTGATGATCGGTTCACTCCTATAAAAAAAAGATTCACTGATCTCTCAAAAATTCCGAAGTGAACCAGTTCCATCAAAGTGATCTATGAATTACTTGTATTGTTTGACGACTAAAATTTACTATGCGATTTGTTTTCATCGTACATTTAAACATTAAAAATAACTTCTTGAAAAAATTTTCAAAATTTATTTAAATCAATTATTCAATTTTAACGGCGGCGAGGCACCGTCTCCAAGAATCTTTATGAGCACAAAGAAGCTGCCAATATTATACGTCACAACAAAACAAAGAATCAGTTGGAACATTTGGGAAAATTTCGAAGCATATTTCAATTTTTTTTTATTATTAACATAATATTTTA